GAAGCGCAGTTCCCAAGCAGGAATAATGGACTCCATGAGGAATAAACCATGTCAGTTCACCCAAACCGAAACACAGGCAGAGTGCTGAGTGTGAAACCATCAGAGAAAGGAGGCGCCCCATTTTCCCAGAGTATGAATGAAAAGCACAGAAGAACCATGTTCTAGTGAATTAACATCGCTGGGAGAAAAAACTCTAAGGGGCCAACGCACAGGAACCCTCTGGGGAGAATCAAATGCTTGCTGCACATTTTGCAGGTATTATGTTGGCTGGCCTCAGGTCATGTTTTCCTCCAAGTATCCTGGCAAGTCTAAACTCTTGCAGAGATGGATGTTAGCAGGATAATTAAAATAATGTACGAGGATATTTGTTTTAAAAAAATTGTTGAAAGGTTTTGCCACTGAAGGATGGAAATGTGCCTGTCAAAAGTACTTGCAAAAGGAAAAGGTTACTTACAAAAGCGGGAATAAACTGGAACTGGCATCAGGAAAGAACAGAAAAGTCTGTCGTATCCAGCAATTTTGCAGTTGCAAGGCCTTCTTCGTGCACCAGGAGTTCTAGCAAGGGGCCCTGCTGGTATGAAAACAGCTCACAGTACCAGCCATGAAAATTCATATATTCAGATTAGCTGGGTTTTTTGAATATATTTTTTGGCACCGTGGCTCTCTTGCAAACCTAAAAAGCCTTTCTTTTTTTCATGCCTCCCTCCCTGATTCCCACCAGTCTACATTAGTCTAAGGACCTTTTAAAAATATATATATAATTTTTTATTAGTTATTTTTTTAACATATCATTTTCAACAGTAATCAAACATACTTTTACATCTTATTCAAATTTTGGACTTCCATCAATCCTGTCTGAAAATTTTTCCAATGTAATCTCTCAGTATGCATTTCTTATCTTCCCTATTGCATTTCGAACTCATAACCAATATCTCTGTCTTTTTCTACTTTGTAACACTTTGTATATTTCTCCTTACAAAACTTCTTGTACTCCTACTAGTGTAATTTGTTGATTACAGTTGCTCTTCAAATAATTCATATACTTCTTCCAATCTTCTGTAAATCTCTGGTCCCGCAGGTTTCGAATCCTTCCTGTCATTTTGTCCAATTCTGCATAGTTCATTAATTTCATCTGCCATTCTTCTTTCGTCGGAATTTCTTCTTGTTTCCATTTTTGGGCTAACAATACTCTTGCCGCAGTTGTTGCATATAAAAACAATTTAACATCTTGCCTATTAATGTCCTGACCTATAATACCAAGTAAAAATGCTTCTGGTTTTTTTAAAAAAATGTATATTTCAACATCTTTTTCATCTCATTATATATCATTTCCCAGAAGTTCTTTACTTTTTTACATTCCCATAGTCTAAGGACCTTTTACTCCAGGTACAGACTCTTCTTCAAGGCAAACTTAGAGACAACTGACCTGATGGATGGGTGGAATCTGAACATGTCCCTCCCCTTGATAAGGGTTGGTTTGTACATTGGTCCATCTCACTTGCAGGGATGCTGGCACTACCAAAGGTTTGGTTCTCAAAACCCACTCGTTAAAAAGGGGCTGTTCACTCGCCGCTTGCCTGTATGGTTGTAAATGCTCGTCTACCAAGGGAATACATTTTGACCAGCAATTCTGTTGCTTACAGCCCCTTCCTTCCTGCATCTTGCCTTTCTTGTGCAAGACTTGATTTTGACTTTACAAGCCAGATTTGATGAAGCAAAGTTCAGTGGTACCTCGGGTTACATACGCTTCAGGTTACAGACTCCGCTAACCCAGAAATATTACCTCAGGTTAAGAACTTTGCTTCAGGGTAAGAACAGAAATCATGCTCCGGCGGCATGGCAGCAGCAGGAGGCCCCATTAGCTAAAGTGGTGCTTCAGGTTAAGAACAGTTTCAGGTTAAGAACAGACCTCCGGAACGAATTAAGTACTTAACCCGAGGTACCACTGTATAGGCTTGAACCTTTAAAATATGCCCTTCCAAAACTCCCCTTAATATTGCAATATTAAGAAACACAACTCATTCAATATTCCAAAGACAAAGAAATTGTATCCATTAAAGGTTTTGGTCAATTTCTTCAGCTTTGTTCTGGATTTTAACCAGCAGCTTAAAATGCAGCAAGGTCATTCTCCTCCCTCCGCACTGCAATTCAAGTTGTGTTTTACGCTGCTGTGCACATTGTTTCACAATTCATTTCCTTGTCCCTGCGACCCTCCCAAAATGCAGTAGTCTCGGAAGTAGTTACACTAAGAGGGCACAGAGTAGAAAACGTCTTGGCCTTGATTCATGCTACAACACCCGAGCAACCTTTGAACTTATGTTTCTTGAACAGCACACCATAGCAAACTCACACTGGGTGGGTGGGAGCAGAGAGGGAATCAGTTTCTGATCTGCCTGGGTAGGGTGGGGTGTCTTGTCATTCAAAGCAACAACAGCAAGTCAGCAGGGCATGTTCAATGTCTTGCTTATGCCTGCAGTTCTTCAGATCCTGACACTTACCGTATTTTTTGCTCTAGAAGACTCACTTTTTCCCTCCTAAAAAGTAAGGGGAAATGTGTGTGCGTCTTATGGAGCGAATGCAGGCTGCGCAGCTATCCCAGAAGCCAGAACAGCAAGAGGGATTGCTGCTTTCACTGCGCAGCAATCCCTCTTGCTGTTCTGGCTTCTGAGATTCAGAATATTTTTTTCCTTGTTTTCCTCCTCCAAAAACTAGGTGCGTCTTGTGGTCTGGTGCGTCTCACAGAGCGAAAAATACTGTATTTTTCCTCCCTCCCCCACACTCTTTCTCTCTGCTTTATTTTGCAAAAGAATGTCGCTACAAATTAATGATTCCAAAATATTGCAAACCCTTCGCTCGCCATAACAATGGTAGTAAATTGTTCATACCTAAATGTGTGCCTATTGTTTCTTTTTTAATGTACCCAACAATTCAAGTTCAAGGCAAGAAAAAAAAATACAAGCTACCAAGTCTATAAACCCGAACAATAAAATGTCACAGCTAAAACAATGAGACGAAATGTGGTTTGTTAGCTTGCTGTTTCTTTGTCGATCTTCTAACCCGCCCTTCCTCATCCCATAGCCCAGGGTGCTTAACAAGTACAAGTACAGTAAAACAATAATTAAAATCTCAACACAATTCCCACCGAGAATTAAAACAACACAGCAGGCAAAAAAACTTTGACTGTTACTCTCCAGTCCAGTTACATTCCAAGAGCCTGGTCAAATGAATACATTTTTAGTTTGCAATCAACAAAAAATGCAGCTGACAAATTGTACATCTTCTCCTGGTCATTAAAGACACTCCACGCATTCCCCCCCCCAAAAAAAATGGCTGTCCACTAAGGCATTGCAATTAAATAATTTAATGCTCTGGTCCATGGGGTCACGAAGAGTCGGACACAACTCAACGACTAAACAACAACAACAACAACAGATTCAAAGCGGATGGTGACATTTTCCTTCAGAATTATAGGAAGGGCTTTGCTTGCCAGCTTGACCATTTCCTTCATGTGGTGCAGGAATTTTATTTTCAGCATAAACAGGACTCCATTTTTGCATGCACACACGCGCGCGCACACACACACCGCTTTTAATTGTTGCGTGTCAAAGGTCCCCAGGGCCACCCCAATAACTCACACATCACACAGGAATCTTTGTTTAAGGTTTTTGGCATAATTTTGGCCACAACTTTATTAAAATACAAAAATGTGAGTGGTTGCTTAGGCATTGGTTGCGACTATCTGCCCCCCCATGGGGGACAGACTGACATTCCGCATGCCTGTGAAAGTCAGAAAAGGGGAATACACTTGGGGGTAGCGACGGAGCAGGGAACCTGCCCTCAGCCCTCCCCAATGCAACCAGGGGCTTTTGCATGGCCTGAGCCCCCTTGACAGGGTGGACAAAAGCAATAGTGAGCCCCTGATTCCTTTAACGGAATCCCTTGCAGCAGCAGCATTGGAGAGGCAGGCAAAGCCAATCCATGCCCCTCAACCAACCAAACCATAAACCAATGCCTAACCGCAACCTTACAAGTTGTGACGATTTGCTACTCAGTAGGCAAAAACCAAATGGCCCCAGCCAATCAGCCAGATGGACAAAATTCCTACCGGGCCCCTGCCCCAAAAGCAGACGACCCCATGACAGGCATAGCAAGGTCAAAGCGAAGAACCCTAAATATAGGGGGGGACGGGCAATCCGATGCACGGGCGAAAAGAGGAAGCTCTAGCCTCGTGCACGGAGTTTTAGCATTTCTGGCTGTCAATCAACAAATGGGAACATTAACTTCTCCCCGACGACAAGGGAACCCTTATCGCATCAGTGGCCAACGATCAATTAGCCCGGCCCACAACTTTGGAGTGTCCTGTTGGCCCCCACTGCAACACGTGCTCTCCATGAAGGAGAACACACTGTCTCCGAGTTGTGGAGGGGAGGAAAAGGGAAAAGCAGGAAATTTCAGGATCAAATCAGAAACCGGGACGGCTTCTGTAATTCTGGTTCTGTCCCTGGAAAATCGGGACACCTGGAGGGTACGCAGTTGTCTCTGCATGTTGTTAGTTTCGGCCTAGTTTTCCATTCTGTCTATGCAGTTTCGAACTTTGTTCCTGCCCTTTGAGGTGTTAGGGATGAAATACTGTACTCAGGACAGCCTCTCTCCACTCCCCAGTCAGACTTATCACATCTTGTACTCGCTGTTTTCCCCAAACACGTTTCTCAGGCGGCATTCTTATGTGCAGCACATTGTTTATGGTTGTCCTCAGTGTTGCAAAGTTTCTGAATGGCCATTCTGGACCCTGATCAGTTGGTATTCATTTCAACGGCGGCTGCTTCTTGTCAAAAGTTGGGTAAATGTTATTCCTGGCTAGTTCTACAAACCTGGAGCTCTCCTAAGTAATGAACCAGTGGCCAAACCTCACAGTGACACAACAAGAACCGATTCTACCTAGGTCATTGGACCTGCCAATTATCCTTTGCTGGGTTCCACTTGCAGTTAGTGAAACTGACTTGTGGAACAAATAAAAGATTTAGAACAAACACAGAACTGGAAGAATGAAAATGGTATAGAATGACTCAGTTGCTAAAAGAAAAGAATTGAAGTCACTGCATCTAGATAAAATTACGGTTCAATTACTATACATCAAACAATGGTATTATGTGTTCGGCAATCAAAACTATCAGCTTGTTGTCTGGAAAAGTGCATTACCAGAAACAGAATATCAGTAATCAGCCATGATATGGGGAGATTTCGTAATTTGGAGCAAATGGCAGACTTCTTCACTCAATATTTTGGAAATGTATCTAAATCCCCAAACCAGACACCAAGGATGTTGATAATTATATGAAAAAGTAGGCATAAACCCAAAAACAATAAGCACAGCAAAATATTAAATGCACCCATAATATGATGAAGGTTAGGTCATTATCCAGAAACGGAAAAACAACAAAACCCAGTAAATTTGTAGCAGCGTTTTATAAAACATATAAATATACATAAATGCATGATTTGGTCAATTTACTTGAATCAAATAATGACAGGGAGAACAGCTTCCCATAAATTTTATTGGAAGGGAGGCGTTCAGTGACACTAAAACCTGATAAGCCAGCTGATTTTAGAATTCATGCTATTAAACCAGGTGTCCGGAGAACAAGGAGGCTGCGGCTGCGGCCCAAATGGCTCTTCTCCCAGCTCGCTGTATGGAAGACACAGGTGGGCTGGAACTGAAGCAACAGGACAGCAGCAGCAGCTGTGGAGCATTACAGAGATGCTCGTAGCAGCTGCAGAAAAGGCAGGATGCGGGAGAGTAAAGGAGAGGTCCTAGGGAGATGGTGCACAGACCAAAGGACTGGGGAAGGATTTACAGATGGATGAGAAAGGGGGAGAAGGATAGCAGAGAAAGAGGAGGGGGCTGCGAGGGAAGCCCGAGAGCAAGAGAGAATAAGAAAGGAGTCCTGGGTTGGTAAGTCCAGCAATGAGCCAGGAAGAAAAGAGTGGAAGGGAACCACTATGCTTTGAGGAATGCCAAAGGGTTTAAGTAGAGAAGCCCCATGGAAGAAGAGTTTGGATTTGATATCCCGCTTTATCACTACCCGAAGGAGTCTCAAAGCGGCTAACATTCTCCTTTCCCTTCCTCCCCCACAACAAACACTCTGTGAGGTGAGTGGGGCTGAGAGACTTCAGAGAAGTGTGACTAGCCCAAGGTCACCCAGCAGCTGCATGTGGAGGAGCGGGGAATCGAACCCGGTTCACCAGATTATGAGTCCACCGCTCTTAACCACTACACCACACTGGCTAAAGTACTGTAGTTAGAGAAAGCTTGAGTGTTCAGAAGGAACTCGAAGCCCTACTGGCAAGGGTCCCACAATACCTTCTCTGAATCTAAGAGGTAGTCTGGGGTTGTGTGGGACTCTTAGGCCTTTAATAGGAAAATCTGACACGAGGATTAGATCGGTAGGTGCATCCTACCTTAACAAGCTAGTGACATCCTATGTACACTGTGACCAGACAGGTGTTGTACCGCAGGAGCAAAGAGCCCCCTTCATTCCAAAGGAACTGAAAAGACTTTTTATGTATGCCACAACAGCAGCACATATGCTATTAGCCCAGAGGTGGAAAGAAGAAAGAGTCGCTACCAGAGAGGAATGGCAAGTTAAGCTGTTAGACTAAGCTGAAATGCCAAAACTGACCGGGAAACTCAAAGACCAAGAAATTCAATAAAGAATGGGGGGGTTATAATTTATTTAGGAGACCACTGTAAGCAGATGAAAACATTAGCAGGATTTTAATCTCACTTGTAATGTAACAAATACCATGGATAACATGGACAGATAAAAAACATAGACTACGAAACAATATGCGGCTGGAAATGTTGACAATAGGACCCATGGAAGGGATTTGGTTAAGAATATAGGGAAGACCTGACACCAAGAATGGGTCTAGCCTAGTCTTCTCTTGATATGCTTTATTTCTCAAGTGTAATAACGTATTTTTCCTGAGTGATCCATCCATTGTGCCCTGCTTGCCTCCCACTCCAGAAATCTGAAGTGCGAAGTCTCTTCAGGTTTACCACCTGTGAGACTTAGGCTCAAATTGGTTATACGCAACATTGCTTCACCTCTTTCACATGGGAATCTGCGTGAAATTGTTCTTCCTGTGAATGTCACCAAAGTTATCCCACCAGAGAATTCAGAACTGGGTAATGCTCTGACTGCATAACCCACTTGCAATATGGAGGCTACCTTTGTAGGGGCTTTGTAAATTAGGATAAGATGTTGTTGTTGTTTAGTTATTTAGTCATGTCTAACTCTTCGTGACCCCATGGACCAGAGCACGCCAGGCACTCCTGTCTTCCACTGCCTCCTGCAGTTTGGTCAAACTCATGCTGGTAGCTTCGAGAACACTGTCCAACCATCTCGTCCTCTGTCGTCCCCTTCTCCTTGTGCCTTCCATCTTTCCCAACATCAGGGTCTTTTCTAGGGAGTCTTCTCTTCTCATGAGGTGGCCAAAGTATTGGAGCCTCAGCTTCAGGATCTGTCCTTCCAATGAGCACTCAGGGCTGATTTCCTTCAGAATGGAGAGGTTTGTTCTTCTTGCAGTCCATGGGACTCTCAAGAGTTTCCTCCAGCACCATAATTCAAATGCATCAATTCTTTGGTGATCAGCCTTCTTGATGGTCCAGCTCTCACTTCCATACATCACTACAGGGGAAACCATAGCTTTAACTATACAGACCTTTGCTGGCAAGGTGATGTCTCTGCTTTTTAAGATGCTATCTAGGTTTGTCATTGCTTTTCTCCCAAGAAGCAGGCGTCTTTTAATTTTGTGACGGCTGTCACCATCTGCAGTGATCATGGAGCCCAAGAAAGTACCGTATTTTTCGCCCCATAGGGCGCACCGGCCCATAAGGCGCACCTAGTTTTTTGGAGGGGAAATAAAGAAAAAAAAATTTATTTCCCCCCCAAGGTGCGAGGCTCAGCAGTCGCTTCGGGTAGCTTCGGGATAAGAGGCAGTGCTGCGCAAGCCGGGGGAGCCCGGGGGAACTCCTGCAGGCTCCCACGGCTTGCGGATAGCTTCCTGAAGCCTGGAGAGGGAGAGGGGTCGGTGCGCACCGACCCCTCTCGCTCTCCAGGTTTCAGCGAAAGCCTGCATTCGCCCCATAGGACGCACACACATTTCCCCTTCATTTTTGGAGGGGAAAAAGTGCGTCCTATAGGGCGAAAAATACGGTAAAATCTCTCACTGCCTCCATTTCTTCCCCTTCTACTTGCCAGGAGGTGATGGGACCAGTGGCCATGATCTTCATTTTTTTGATGTTGAGCTTCAAACCATATTTTGCGCTCTCCTCTTTCACCCTCATTAAAAGGTTCTTTAATTCCTCCTCACTTTCTGCCATCAAGGTTGTATCATCTGCATATCTGAGGTTGTTGATATTTCTTCCGGCAATCTTAATTCTGGCTTGGGATTCATCCAGCCCAGCCTTTCGCATGATGAATTCTGCATATAAGTTAAATAAGCAGGGAGACAATATACAGCCTTGTCGTACTCCTTTCCCAATTTTGAACCAATCAGTTGTTCTATATCCAGTTCTAACTGTAGCTTCTTGTGCCACATAGAGATTTCTCAGGAGACAGATGAGGTGATCAGGCACTCCCATTTCTTTAAGAACTCGCCATAGTTTGCTGTGGTCGACACAGTCAAAGGCTTTTGCATAGTCAATGAAGTAGAAGTAGATTTCTTTCTGGAACTCTCTAGCTTTCTCCATAATCCAGTGCATGTTTGCAATTTGGTCTCTGGTTCCTCTGCCTCTTCTAAATCCAGCTTGCACTTCTGGGAGTTCTCGGTCCACATACTGCTTGAGCCTGCCTTGTAGAATTTTAAGCATAACCTTGCTAGCGTGTGAAATGAGTGCAATTGTGCAGTAGTTGGAGCATTCTTTGGCACTGCCCTTCTTTGGGATTGGGATAACAACAGCTTTAAAAGTGGCTGACACACCAGGATTTGAGTAACGCTTGTAATGTACTAAGAATTATGGTAAAAATTGGATTATTTAAGAAAAATAGAGAAAATAAGAGAAGCAGTTGGAAAAAGATTAATAATGATAATCATGGAAGGGTGGAGGGGAGTCGAAGGATTCGGGGAACCCTAAATGATGATATTGATGCTTAATATCTGAATTTAAATTTGCAGTGTAAAACTTTAAAAAGATTTGACATAAAAAGTGGCTGACACACAGCTGAGCAGGAGCTATTTATTTGCGTGTGTGTGTGTGAATTGCATCTATACAAACATGTCTTCCTGATGGCCACTGATAAAAATTTAAATAATTAAAAAAATAAACTTGCTGCACCTTAAAAGGCAAAATCCAGGGTTGGAGGGAAAAGGACAAAATGAGCATGGTAGTTATTGTTAAGAAGCCGTTATAACTCTCTCATATTGCAAAGCATCAGTAGGAGAGCTTTTTATAAACTGCGAAGGCCACGAGGCAAGGACAGGGATGTAGTCATCTTCCTGTAAGGAAACAAAAGCCTGGCAGCCAAGATGCTTTGCAGAAAAAGAGCTGAGACAATGAGGTGGGGATGACCTCAAGGCTCCAGAATGTGGCTTCATAACTCATGCCTTTTAATTTCCAGACTGTTTGTATCAGTATCAGGTTTCAGTCTCTTAAGTCTGTGCCCTCGTGGGGATTCTTATTATAGAGAGCATTCCTGGGTACGTATGGGGTAAAAAACACAATAATATACAATACCATAAAATCCCATGATTAGCATTAAAAGTTTCAGAACGTACAGCTCTCTGCAGTTCACAGGAGGCCTGGTAGAACAGCATGTGGAACTGCAGTGCCAAACTGGCCAAACCCTTCAAACAGCTAGTGCGTATAGCCCAGTTGGTAGAGCATGAGACTCTTCATCTCAAGGTCGTGGGTTCGAGCCCCATGCTGGGCAAAAGATTCCTGCATTGCGGGGTTGGACCAGATGACCCTCATGGTCCCTCCCAACTCCATAAGTCTATGAGTCTATGTGCAGGATTTGCATGGTGAGTTCCCACCTCCCCCCAGTATGAATAAAGCCACAGGAAACAATTATTTAAGGTCAATGGGCTAAAACTGGCCACAACTTTATTGGTTACAGGCATTGGTCCTATCAGGCTATCCGGCTTCAGCCTGTTAGCTTGGAAACTGGGAAGGGTTAACACCAGCAGGGGGAGCCCTGCTGATGCACATCAACTAGGGACTCCCCCGGGGTCACCGAACGGGGGCATGCTTTAGGCCCTGACCTCCATAGGCTTTGGACGAGACAATGCCCCCTGGAATCCTTTACCGGACTACCATTCAATATGTGGGGGAGGTGATGGCGCTCCTCCCCCCAACACATCTACATAACAATACCTCTACCAATGCCTAACCGCCAAAACCAATGAGTTGTGACGATTTGCTACGAGGTAGGCGAAAAACCAAATGGCCCGTGCCAATTTGCCAAGTGGAAAAAACTCCTACCAGGCCCCTTGACGGCGACCAACTGAGGTCCATAGCAAGGTCGGAAGGGAAACCTTAAAGGGTGGGTGGGAAACCACATCAGCTGCGCGGACCAAAGAGGGAGATCCCGGGGCCGCGCCTGCCTTAAGTGCGGCAAGCCACACCCCCGGTGTTATGTACTGAAGTTCTCACCCTGGGCCAGCAGGGGGATACTGTAGATAGTTATGCAAATAAGGGATCGAAAGTGACGTTCAGTGATTGGATAGTTTTAGAAAATTGTTACAGTTACATTGTACTGGCGCTCTATATAAGCAGGCTGCCTGAACCCTTCAGTTCAGTTCTGTTCTGGCCTGTGAATAAACAAGAGCTGTTTGAAGAATCGCTGTGTCGTCTGATATGTTCACCCACAACTTAACACCCTGAGCCAGTCGATTGGCTGGCTCAGGGGATGACGTGGCCAGAGGATTCCCTGACCGCGCGGGGCTAGAAACCAGCCCGCGTGCGCGTTGGGGGCGTGAGCCCGCAACCCCACCTCCTCCTGATGTCGGAAGTGGCTTTCTACAGAACATGGAAAATGTGAATAGCTACTATCCATCCTGCACATGAGGGATGATGGGGGAGAAGATCAGTTTGGTTCCCTACTAGATTCACGCTTCCCGAAACGAAATGTGAACCGAAACCCCAGCTACCTTGCGAAATTCACACGTCTCTGAAATTTGCCTACAAAAAGACACAAGATCTACCCACCTTGGAAGAATGGCAGATGAAGGTGATGGACTATATGGAACTGGCGGAAATGACTGGCAGAATCCGAGACCAGGGAGAAGAGTCGATGGAGGAAGATTGGAAAAAGTTTAAAGATTATCTACAGAAATATTGTAAAATTAATGAATGTTAGAATGATGTTGGATAGAAACTAAGTGGTCTTTAGCTGAAAGGTTACAAGGGAAGATGAAAAAAAGGGTTTATTATGTAATATGTAAAAATCTAAAATTACAATATTTTTATGATTAATGATTAGGATACTAAAAGAGGGGAGGGATGTGCTGAACAAAATAACTGAACTGGAATACAAAAAAGGAAGGTGTGAGGAGGTCCTGGAAATAAGCAAATGAAGGTCAAGTAATGGAAGGAAAGAATTGTTTTTAAATATTTTTACTTTGTATTTTTTCTTGGTTTTTTTCTTTCTTTATTTTTGTGTGTTTTGTAAAACATTGAAAGTCATAATAAATATCTTATAAAAAAAAAAGAAATTTGCCTACAAAAATGTGACTGTTAGAAGAAATGTGCACAAAAAGAGCATAATAAAGAGGATAACAAACAAAAATGCATTGTATTCGGGCAAAATTGCCTGCCAAATGTGTATACTGTATCAGGAGAAATCTGAACCCAAATCAGGGGTCTGCAACCTTTAAGACAAAAAGAGCCACTTGGACCCGTTTCCGAAGAAAAAAAAACCGGGAGCCGCAAAACCATTGCGACATTTAAAACAAATATATCTCCGGAGCCGCGATCTGACAGTGGGCGGGAAGGTGACGTCGGGACGGTGCGTGACTAACGCACGCACCGCCCCCATGCGACGTCACAGCCAGTACAGCGCCCGCCACAGTGGGGAGTGTTGGGGCGCACAATGCGCCTCCTCCCCTCGCTAGTATCCGCCCCGGAGCCGCGGCAAAGGTGTAAAAGAGCCACATGCGGCTCCGGAGCCGCGGGTTGCTGACCCCTGACCCAAATGCTGGTGGAATTTCATGAGGGTTATATATTTAAAAAGGAAAGCAAGTTAAAATTGGGAAAATGAGAAACTAAGAGATACCCAAACTGACCGATTCAGCCATCCCTAGCTATAATATGAACCTTTTTAAGGACAATGAAAACTACCTAGGGGTTCACTAAGGGAGCACAGGAAGGGAGCTTTGCTGAAGATTTTGGCCTGTTCAGAAGCTCTCTGCCTTTCTGTGGCTCTTAAACTGGATGCTTTTGATGAACCCAGTGAGTTTGCTACCTTAAGGATGCTCATAGGTCAATCTGATCACATGAAAGTGATGCTATGACACATACAGTCCGAGGTGTGGGTGGTGAGAAATTATTGAATTTATACCTTACCCCTGGAGACTACTGGTCACTGCCTTGATGCTGTAGTCATTCTCTTGGGTTAGAGATGTTATCATTGTGGAATGAATCTTTTTTTTCTTACAAGGACCAGTTTTGTTTGCCTTTTCCCTTTTTAATGAAGTCTTTTATTGAAGCTGCAGAAACAACAGCAACCCTCGGCTGTTAAAGCGATGAACACTGCAGTCTATACGTGTCCAGTGCTTTTTTCTGGGGGACGCAGGGGTGCGCATCCCCCTAAACATTTTGTGAATCTTTGTACTTTTGTCCATTTGCTGTATTTACTTTTCCTGATTTGAACTATAAAATGGTGATTTTCTTGAGTCAAAATGAGAGTACCCCTAAACATTTTTAAAGGGAAAAAGTGCTGTATGTGTCTACTCAAAAATAAGCTCCATTGAATTCACTTCAATGGGATTTAATCCCAGATAAAGGTAAAGGGACCCCTGACCATTAGGTCCCGTCGTGGCCGACTTGGGGGTTGCGGCGCTCATCTCGCTTTACTGGCCGAGGGAGCCGGCGTACAGCTTCCGGGTCATGTGGCCAGCATGACTAAGCCACTTCTGGCGAAACCAGAGCAGCGCACGGAAACGCCGTTTACCTTCCCGTTGGAGCAGTACCTATTTATCTACTTGCACTTGCGTGCTTTCGAACTGCTAGGTTGGCAGGAGGAGGGACTGAGCAACGGGAGCTCACCCCGCCGCGGGGATTCAAACTGCTGACCTTCCGATCGGCAAGCCCACAGCGCCACCCACGTCTGCATACCTAGTTACTCCCAGGTAGGGCGGGGCAATTTCCAGCTTTCAACATCGCGATATATCACCAGCTAAACATCATGATACAGTGGTACCTCAGGTTACATACACTTCAGGTTACAGACTCCGCTAAGCCAGAAATAGTGCTTCAGGTTAAGAACTTTGCTTCAGGATAAGAACAGAAATCGTGCTCCGGTGGCGCAGCGGCAGCAGGAGGCCACATTAGCTAAAGTGGTGCTTCAGGTTAAGAACAGTTTCAGGTTAAGAACGGACCTCCGGAACGAATTAAGTTCTTAACCCGAGGTACCACTGTATACTGATAGATCACAATGTCTGAAATAAGGATGGAACTCTGTAGAGACACTGGCTGGCTTCTGGTATTTCCTGAATCATGTTTTTTGCATAGAACACAGAGAAGCACACTAGAGCAATGTCAAACGGTGTCAAAAATCAGTTTTAACATCACGCCATGGTAAGAGGAATTTCATAATATTTAGCACGGTGATATATTGCAAATCACAATGTGTGCATGTGCTGTGTAAAAAATTGTGATTTTTTTGCACAATTTTGCAAAAATTGTGAAGTCAGACATCACTTCTCTCATGATTCCTTCTGTCCCTGTTGCTCTGTACTATAAAATAACAGTTGTAACAATATGTTAAAGGGAAGTAAAAAACCCCCAACAATTTAGACCCCTAAGTAGTAGCAGTTTCCTCTCCATAGTTACATCCTTATTTCAGACATCATGATATATTGGTATACCACAATGTTTAGCTGGTGATATATCATAATGTTGAAAGCCAGACATCTCTCAGCCCTAACACACATCATGGTTCACAATATACACCTGGTCAAAAATCGTGAATCCAGTATCACAATATGAACTTCAAACCGGTTGGGACAATATATTGATATATCGCCCAGCCCTACTCCCAGGTAAGTGTGCTTAGATTTTCAGCCCTAGGCTCTCCGTATTGGGAGATTCTGTGTTTCAAAACAAATGCTTCTCCATATTCGTCTTGCATCCCTTTTGTAAACTGAAACGTAAATGGAAAGCTCACCTTCTTTCATAGACCAGTCTTGGAACTCCCCAGGGCATGCACAATGGAAATTGCTTACATGTGTCATCATCATCACTCACTCCATATATTTTTAAGGGGCGGGGATCATGTTTTGATGGAAATAGTGTATATATTATTGACATGATTATTCCTGTTTTTGTTTTGTTTTGTGTTTGCTTAAGCTGTTGGCAAAGTGATTGTGACAAGGAGACGGGGATATATATTTTTGAAGCTGTTTTCCCATAGTTATTGGTTCTTCCTGGATTTATTTAATTTGCGCATAATAGGTTTCTTGGAAAGCAAAAAGAAGTGCATCTGTACGGTGCCAGAGTACATTCTATGCACAGTACACACAAAAATTCCTCCAGCCACTTAGGTTGGCTTCAGGGGTATCGGACGCTATCTAAACATGGAGTGCTATCAGATAGGCTATCAGATATGGTGGAATCCATACTACAGCAGACCAGTGGAAATGAGTTACTCTGGAGCAAGTTGAGTCGAACTGGTGTAAATGTGAGCATATGTCAGGACATCCCTGCAAGGATATACTAGCAGAGACATGAGGACAGACACAAAGGGCAACAGAGGAGCAGATATGTCAAATACTCCAGACCTCATTTACTCCCCAGCAGTAGTACAGCCTTCTGCCACTTATGGAGCAGATAGAGGAACATAACACTCATAGGATTCAATGTTGGGGAAAACAAAAAAAACCTGCAGTCCCCCCCTCCGCCGAACCCCACCCACATTGCAATGACAGAGTGTAGTATTTGTTGCAGGCATCCCCAACCTGATGCTTTTGCCTACAACTCCCATGATCCCTAGCTAACTGGACCAGTGGTCAGGGATGATGGGAATTGTAGTCCAAAACATCTGGAGGGCCAAAGGTGGGGATGCCTGATTTGTTGTAACTCTGTACCCCAGTCGTAGCTAGCAATGTTTGACAAACTCATTTTTTAAATATAATTTTTATTAGTTTTTTTAACATATCATTTTCAACAGTAATTAAACATACTTTTACATCTTATTCAAATTTTTGACTTCCATCAATCCTCTCTGAAAATTTTCCAATCTAATCTCTCAGTATGCATTTCTTATCTTCCCTATTACATTTCAAACTCATAACCAATATCTCTATCTTTTTCTACTTTGTAACACTTCCTATATTTCTCCTGACAAAACTTCTTGTAGTCCTACTAGCGTAATTTGTTGATTACAGTTGCTCTTCAAATAATTCATATACTTCTTCCAATCTTCTGTAAATCTCTGGTCCCTCAGGTTTCGAATCCTTCCTGTCATTTTGTCCAATTCTGCATAGTCCATTAATTTCGTCTGCCATTCTTCTTTCGTTGGAATTTCTATGTTTGACAAACTCATTCACTCCTGAGTCTGGAGCAAACTGGCCTGAGTTGTACTTCCTGGACTAGGGATGGAACTTTCTGAAGATCTCAGTGTCAAACCCAAGCTAGCCCAAGGCATTTTGGCACCTGAGGCAGACACCAAAATGGTGTCCCCTGTCCCCGTCAGGGAATAAGGAGTGAGGGAAGATCTACATCAGGAGCAGGGGCCGGGGAAGAAAGCTCAATATTGGGATCTGCTGCCCCAGTGGATTCTGCTGCCTGAGGTAGTCATCTCACCTTGACTATGGATGGGCTGGCCCTGTGTCAAACTTACCTGCTCCTCCCCACTGACTGCTCCTGGGTCCCATATAAACTCCAGATTTCCTAAAGCAGCACAAAACAGATACATACAGCAATGCATCTAACTATATGCAAATACTTATGTATCCCCAGAAATCTTATAGGTACACTGCCTCAAGGATCCAGTTTACAATAGCTATTTACCTATAATGTGTATATGGGATGGAGATAGATGATAGATAGATAGATAGATAGATAGAGATGATTGATAGATGATTGATAGATGATTGATAGATGATTGATAGATGATTGATAGATAGATAGATAGATGATAGATAGATAGATGATAGATATTTCTTGCTCTTTTCTTTAGCTTCAATGGAATCTTCCAATTAATCCCTTTCAGCAATACATACATCTCCATTTCAACGTGAATTAAACAATTATACTTAACAATGATGTGTTTGTGCAATAGTCCATTTATGTGTGCAACCAAGACCGCATAACACTCGATGGGTTGCTTCCTGAGGGTAGGACATTGCCTTACCTGGACAACTATAGGATCTGCAGCTACACCACCGAGTTCTTAATTGTATTCTGTAACCAGAAAAATTCACTCAAGAACAATACATGGAGAGCTTAGATATAAAGCCAGCAGAACCAGGAGTTTGAAGGAGGAATGGGAAGTAGAGACAAGCAGAGAGGGGCAGAGAAGCAAGGAGAGAAAAGTGTGTCCTGTAACTGCTCTGTATGAAACCATTTTAATCAAGTATAATGCTTACATTAGGTTGGGACTTGCTCCTTTAATTACACAAGCAGTGTCCCATGAAACAAAACCATACCCCCACAATATGAAACCTCACCACTCTTGCTATTATGGTCGGTCGCTACTGGGAATGCTTAGCCATTATGAGTTACTTGGTTTGCTAAAGCATTAATGAAAGAAAATGTATATTTGTCAGGCAATTCAAGGGAGACCAGTTATTCGGAGATGCTACATCTGTAATTTCTTCATCGCACATTCGGAATTGCACACAGCTGAACTTGGAAGTGAGAGCTGAAGAATTGATGCTTTTGAATTATGTGTTGGAGGAGACTCTTGAGAGTCCCATGGACTGCAAGAAGATCAAACCTATCCATTCTGAAGGAAATCAGCCCTGAGTGCTCACTGGAAGGACAGATCCTGAAGCTGAGGCTCCAATACTTTGGCCACCTTATGAGAAGAGAAGACTCCCTGGAAAAGACCCTGATGTTGGGAATGATGGAGGGCACAAGGAGAAGGGGACGACAGAGGACGAGATGGTTGGACAGTGTTCTCGAAGCTACCAGCATGAGTTTGACCAAACAGTGGGAGGCAGTGGAAGACAGGAGTGCCTGGCGTGCTCTGGTCCATGGGGTCACGAAGTGTCGGACACGACTAAACGACTAAACAACAACAAACTTGATATTCTACTTGTGCGCAAACAAAATACATCTCCCATTGGTTCCTCTTCTCTACACAATTTCAAAGGCAAATGGTATATGTGACTGCAGATTGCAAAGAGCAGCTCTGCTCCCTGGTTGGCTACTCCACCCCCCTCACCCGGAGAGGGTGCTTTGATGGCACAGACTGACTGTGTCCAAATCCACCCCGCAGCACTTCAAAGAATGTCTCGGCTGTTTTGACTTGGCACATTGCCTTTCCAATATCTGAGGAAACAAAATCTCCAGCCTACATTAGCTTGGTGTGCCTCTCTCATTCCCCCCAAATCCTCATCCAAACAACCTATGCCCTTTTGAGAGCACCAGGGCTGACCCAAGGTTAAAGCCAGGAACCAGATGGTGTCTGCGTCGGGAAACGTTCTGTGCCCTTCTTGGCTTCTTTTTCTTTAGTACAAATAGTCTCCGTGAGGTTGGGAGCCCCTCCTGTGGTCCAATGGATTTAGATGTGCTCCATCCTAATTCACACAAAGTATAGATTTGATAAACAGTTCCCCCTTTTCCCCCTTGCCAGTAATCCCACCACTGTGGTTTTCAATTAAGCTTTGATCTGCTACTACCCACAATAATATTACAGGAAGGGTTGAACAGTTTTGTACTTCTCCCTCGTTCTGGGGTGAGAGAGTTTATGCCTACAGGAAGGTAGCCAAAAGGATAAAGCTGTTCAGCATACAGTGGTACCTCGGGTTACAGACGCTTCAGGTTACATACGCTTCAGGTTACAGACTCCGCTAACCCAGAAATAGTACCTCGGGTTAAGAACTTTGCTTCAGGATGAGAACAGAATTTGTGCTCCGGCGGCGCAGCGGAGGCGGGAGGCCCCATTAGCTAAAGTGGTGCTTCAGGTTAAGAACAGTTTCAGGTTAAGAACGGACCTCCGGAACGAATTAAGTACTTAACCCAAGGTACCACTGTAATGGCTTTTGTTGCTTTGTTGTTATTAATTACAGAACTGACAGACAAATATAAGTTATCGTGAAAGAAGTATGTGTCTTAAAATTCCATTTGTTGGCACTGAATCTCACAGTACCATCAAAGGTACAGTCAAACCATTTTTGAATGATTCAGCTCCTGAAGGCCAAAAACCCGGAAGTAAATGCTCCATTTTTTGGAAGCTGAATGTCAACGTGACTTCCAATTGAGTGCAGGAAGCTCCTGCAACTAATCGGAAGCCGTGCCTCGGTTATCGAACGTTTCAGAAGCCAAATGGGCTTCCGGAATGGATTATGTTCGACAACCGAGGTTCGACTGTGTTAAGATAACAATCGTGACTCCTCATTGAAAATTATTGTTGAAGAATTCCATACACAGCCCAACAAGACAACGACAATAATCCACCAACAGCATACAAATCAGTATGGCTAACCTGATCCAAAACACCCACCCACCCCACTCACGCACGAAAACAAAGATCACCACAGCCAATCACAAACAAACAACCACACCCTAGGCCAACCCCAACCTCTCTCACCACCAAAGGAACACAAATGAACAGCACAAGCAACGCTGACACCAAACATACATTAAGCATAACAGAAACATCGCTCCCACCCCACCCCCACCCATCTTCCCTCCCTCCACCCCTTCTTCTTTTTTTTCTCTCTCTCCCCCTAATGTCTCAACAAATGAAACGGATTTGTAAAAATGTTACATGGAAAAAATATGAGAGACATTACACTTACTTCTGTAAAACAAGAAAATCTTTAATAAAAATTTAAAAAAAAAAGAAAAGAAAACATGCTCACTTGTTTTCATTGTATTTAAATACCTCTCATTTATAAAAACAGAAATTGTGATCTTACCAAAGAGCGGTGTGACCCAATGGATTGATGGATAACTTTTGTCCCAAAGAAACCTAAACACCTTTGCCATTTAAAGGGTGATTTGTTTACAGAAATTTGTGCCACCGACTAGTTTACATATAAACAGCCACTCTGCCTTGATTTAGCTTCTCACAACGTGATTTGGAGCTTGGACCTGACTTCAGTGGCTGTGTTAATCTCTGAATACAGTGGTACCTCGGGTTAAGTGCTTAATTCGTTCCGGAGGTCCGTTCTTAACCTGAAACTGTTCTTAACCTGAAGCACCACTTTAGCTAATGGGGCCTCCTGCTGCCGCCATGCCGCCGGAGCACGATTTCTGTTCTCATCCTGAAGCAAAGTTCTTAACCCAAGGTACTATTTCTGGGTTAGTGGAGTCTGTAACCTGAAGCGTATGTAACCCAAGGTACCACTGTACAGTGTTTGACGTTGCAGCAGATTCTGCAAAGATACAAACACTCAGC